ATGGACAGGCCAGTGTTTACCACCAGCATGCCAGCAAAGGAGCGCATGCAGCTGTTCAAACACCAGCTAGTTTGTGCCAATTTCGGATTAGGGGCCCGTGCTTTCTAGAGAGGGCAGGACCCCCAAACCACGAGCATCTCGATGCCACCCTGTTATTCAGACCACTGGTGGAATCCAGAGGTGGTGCATCCTGCTGAGAAACTGTGAGTCCTGTCGCAATTTGAAGCGATCAGGCAAGCTCAAGCCGGCCCTTGAAGCAATGCCCTGATTTCGCAATGCCCACCTGCGGGTTGGCCCATGGAGTTGCATTTGCCGTCCCATCTTCCAGTGCGGAAAGCTAGAACGGAGCTGGGGATCCCCGTACCCCAGTCCCCACATGCTTCGCAGTAGCTTCGCCTCCTGAACTTTGCTTCAATGTTTCCTGTTTCGCTCACATGCCCTTCTCACCAAGAGACGGGCTTGCTTTGAATGGACCCAGACTGATGACATTGTGAAGTCTTTCAGACAAGTGAGCACCTGGCTGAGAAGATCCCGCTTAGCATTATGATTTTTACAGCGATGCCTGGTGTGTCCCTCAGGAAGCTGGTCCCAGGTCGCTTCAGGTTCGATGCCTGAACAACTCGGTGTATTTGCTTTCCTTCAACCCGGTGGCGTCTCACCGTAAGCAAAAATTCACTTCTCATTTGCATGAGCCCAATTTGAGACCACTTAGCACCGAAGGAATCAACAGAACAAAGGGCACGTGCTTCTTGGTCTCCGGACAGCACGAATTTATTTTTGTCCCTACCGGAAGCCAACAGGGAATACTTCCTTGTAGCAATTGCAATGGAAGCTCAGGAGTGCCAAAGCAGCCTGAGCTGGAGGCAGGGAGGCTTTGCACTGGCATCCAATGGCTCTGTTTGGGTGGGATCCAGCTCTTGGGGTGACCCTAAATGACCTGTTGTCGGACTGTCGGGTCTTTTGGACAGAGATGGGCTGATTGTGTGGGTTTCCAGTTGTTTGACCCACTCAAGCCAAATGATGTGCCATTGCGCGCTGAGTGCTGGAGTAAACCCGCCATGAAAAAGATCCCCGGAAGTTGAACCTCCTTCAAGTTTCCGGGGCCAGCAAGTCCCCTTCTCAGACGTGCCAGGACAGTGCCTGCCCGGTCCCCCGGAGACAGGCAGCTACGACTCAGGGATTGGCTTCCCGGGAGGCAGCGGCCCCAAGATTCTGCACAGTTAACGAGGTCACCAAGGGGATCCCCGGTTGCTTTCTCTACCTGTCGTTGTGTCTAAATGTCAATCCTTACAAGCGCGAACAACTGAGGCAAGCCAGAAAGGGCTTTGGTGTGCTTGGGCCTTGGTGGTGTGCCCGATCCCCTAAGATCCCTTAGCAATGGAGGAGCGGGTGGCCACAATTCTACCATTTACATTTGGTTGCACCCTTTGCTTTCCATTTGTTTCAAAAATATGCTTCTTGTGCAGCCGTGAATGGCCATTGACAAGCTGTTAGAACTGTTAGACATCCCCTGTATTTGGTTGACACCCCCCACATGACAGTTGGTAACGGGGACCCCAACCTAGGTGAAGTGCAAAACCTTCTTTTCCAAACCAATGGTTTTCCCAACCCCTACACAACCAAAAGGTGACATGGCCTTTGTCGGTGCGCATGTCCGGGCCCCAGGCCCCTTGCCGCCGTACCACGCCTCGGTGCGCCCACGGCTGCGCACCGCATTGGCGTCGCACCCGCGCAGCCTTCGCCTCGGGCCAGCCAGTTCACGCATTTGCCTGGACCCTCAAACTACCCCAAAACTGTTTGTTTTTTGTGTTGCCCCCAGACCTTTCCCTTATTTAGGAGTAGTTTGAAGGTGCAGGTACTTCACTCGTTTTGGCATGTGTTGTCTATTTCTTTTGGTTTTGGGAGATGCTTTTGGGCGCCAACCAGTTGTGTACACCAGGGCGAAAGTGGATGGGGCAATTCCCAAAGTGGCCGCGAAAGGGGTCTTGGAACCGAAAGGAATCGCGACCTTTGCATTCATCCAACTAGCAGCACGCTATAACATGTACTCCCGCTCACGGGCATGGAGCCCGCTTGAGTGCACCGAGAAATCCAAAAAGCAAACGGAGATTTCCAGGCAGAGCCAGTTTTCAGCCGGAATAAGCAGGGCCAAACGGGCCGCAGCAAAAACACCGGTGCACACATGGAAGCATACCAAGATGCTCAAACAAGGCCGATGCGCCCCAAGCATGAAAAGGAGCAGCCTTTGTTGTTAGCTGATACCATTTCTCCTGTTCACAACCCCCTTGCCCACGTGTGTTTGGAGATGCACTTCATGTTTCGGGCACTTCAGGACCTGGTGAGACTACCCACTATTCGCGATCAAGCATTGGCATAGTGATGATCTTCTGAATGGAAGCGGCAGTGCCCCAAGACTCGGCTCTTTTCACCGAGCAACCGCCGTGACCTATCGACCTGCGCAATTGGGCCCATCGCATCACTGCCCCCAGGCCAAGTAATTATTTGGAGCTCGTAGCAGAAGAGAGGCATTGGATGAATGCCAATTCCGCCAAGGGTGTCGCCAGATTTCATTTTGCTTTCCGCGCAGCTCGGGCTTGGCTTGTCACACAGCTGGGAGGGTTCGCTTCTAGCCAAAACACTGCGATGTGAAACATGTCCGATCTTCCAAACCCTGCGTTCAATCCATTCGATAGGCTTTTGCCAAGTGGACAAGCTGACAGGCTATGAGGTCTCAAAACTAGCCGCCTGAAAATGATTAGGTGGTTCCACGTGGCTGCGCTTCCTGCTGGAACGCAGCTTGGCAAGAAAGGGGCCGCGTGGTCGCCTAACGTTTGCCTTTAAAGGTCGTTACAGCAGGCGATCGGGATAGCGATGAGGTGCCTCTTTTGAAGCTGTTGACATTGAGTATCAAAACCCGAGTGACTGGACTGCAACCCGCACGGATGTCCAGGCAAAAACATGGCTGTATTCGTTCTGAACATTTGGTTGGCATACCTGCGGCATACCCCAAGTGACATCCCCACTTTGGGCCCTGTTTTGAGAGACCCTCGTAGGCTCCAGCGGCCAGCCCTGCGGCTTTGAAGACCCGGGCTGGGCCAATGTGCTGCCTCACGTGGGAGAGTCCCCGGAGAAGCCTCAAGCGGTGAACAAGGCGATGTCACGGAAGAAAATGCCGCAAAATACGGTGGATGGATGCCATCCACCAGTTGAGTACATCGATCTCAGTATGGGTGTTTTTCACATTCCCACTCAGGATTTTGTGCATTCACTGGAGGTTTTAGATGGAATTTAGGCTGCAACTGTCCATGATGCAAAGGGTGACTTTTACCCTGGTTAAAGAAGTTGTTGGATCATTTTTGGATGGACACAATTCGCTTCGCAGAAAGTGGTAGGTAGATTCTCGTAGGGTTTTGAAGGCTTCATCCATTCCAACTGGTGCAGGATTTTGTTTCCAGCCGCGGCCAGATTTTAGCGTTTGAGAGGTTGCCACTTTCTATGATGTTTTATGCTTTCCGGGAAGACCATGGTGGTAAACAAGCCAGGCTGCGCCAACAGGTGAGGAGGCTTGAAGCGTCAAGCAACACAGTCAGCGGTGTCCGCAAACGGAAGGGAGTGAAAACAGCCAACACCTCCTTCCACCAAACATGCTATCAGGCCAAGGTATGTTTGCTCCCTTGGGAAGACCGGGCCACTGGAGACATGGCATTGGCCCCCCCACCTTCAGTCCGCGCATTGCCAGCGCCAAGAGAGACTTGCGTGCTTCAAAGTGAGAACCCTCTTCGATGAATTCCTGTTACGCCCACCTAAACTAGGGTACCCCAAAAAACGCGCCCATGTCCCCTCATCTTTACTTGGGTCAGGAGGGCCTCATCGTGAAGACCCACAGCATTTGCTATGGCTGCGGCTTGGCCACGACATGCTTGGTCGGCGCCAATGGGAAATCACTTGGCGGATCCTGCACACATCCTGCACGTTTGCCCATCCTGGCAAAAAGGACATGTGCCGATGGGGGAAGGCTTATACAACTCAAATCTGACCGGAGTCGCAGAACTCCATGCTCACAAGGAACTGACAGATGTGTTTTCCCTGCAGAGGACAATTCTAAGGACAAACCGACTACCTGCTACGGGAAACATGACATTGAGATATGTTGAGCTGTTTGCCAAAGCGCAGTTTGGTTGACGACAGATGGCACCGGTCTCAATTTGGCTTCATTCGCTCTATCTTCCAGTAGGATCCATCTACGTTTCCAAAATGCCTCCAGTCAACCCCTGGTTGATCAGATGAAGGATCCCATGTTTAGAGGGGAACCAGCACCTTCAGGGCACCCCGAAGAATCCACCAGATTGATGGAGGGTTTTCGCCACTCCCCTGATTGGAACCTCCAAATCCGAAGGTGGCAGTTCTAATCTCACTTCCTGAATTGGTGGACTTCATTCTTTTTAGGAAGACCACTTTGGTGGCAGACCAAGGCTTAGACTTTTTTGGGGCCAGTCGAGCAATAGAAACCAGTAAATCGCTTTTGCTTTTTTGAAGGGAACTTGACCCCTGCAATCCGGCTTCGACATTTGTTTGGGCCTCAGGCTGGTCCGGCGCCCCATGGTCCGCGCGCCTGCGGGTGCGCAACACCTCGCTGATGCCGCAGCAGGCCCACTTAGGAGCCAATTGGGCGAGGCCTCCAGGGCTTGATGTGCAGTGTGAAAGAAGATTGCAGAATTCCACTTTGGTTTAGTCATCTCCTTCACATACAATTCTCCATGCGGAGAGTATTGTGAGAGCGGGACAGACTTGCCTGATTTGTTTCAAGTGCTTGAAGCTTGGCCCAGTCTTTGGACACGACTTGGTGACTTTCTGGACACCGCTTGCACACCTCCAGTGTAGCAGTTTCGTCCACGAAGTATGTGAAGGCCCTGTTCCTTGCGCAGAATCTGTCCAGCTCGGATGTGTTTAGCCTGTGGCATCGGGCTCCCAGCAACGGCACTGCGCACACGCCTTTTCCGCCCCCCCCCCCCCCCCCGCACCCACCCGTTTTTGGCCATGGCAGTGGCAGAGGGCACCTCTAGGGTGAAGAAGGGCCTGGCGGCCATGCTGAAGGCGACGTATGCGACGTTTCGGGGTGCGGTTGGACCTGGGTCTTTGGGGGTGAGAACTTAGGGACCCTTTGGTGGACATGATTTGCATGGGGTATGATCCATCAACCCCCAGTTGGTGAAACAAGGGACGAAGGTGCTGAAGATTTCCCCCACCCCTCTTCCTTGCTGGAAATTGAGTTGTTCACCGGATAGGTTAGGAAACATATGGAAACATGTTGCAGTTTTGGGGGACTAGAAGTGAAGCAAGCACTGCGATGCATATTTCACAGCAGGTCCTATCTCCAGCAATCATGTTCAGAGTCTTTGTTTGACAGATATAAATATAAATAAAAAGATATATACATACATACTATACTAGCCTAGTATGCTACATTTTCCCGAGCGAATCCGCCTTTTGACCTGGTCCCGCTTTTATTCCGTGTTTAGTGATGGCTTCGGAAAGGTGAACCCTTGTCTGTGCGGCAAGCGAGGAACGCGCACATGGCATCCCCAAAGAAGGGAAGCCAAGTGCCCAAGTGCCAAATGGAACAAATTGTCCAAAAGGATATATCCGCCGGCAAGAAAAGGATGCTAATTGCAGAGGCAAGAGGAAGCAAAGTGCTGAGTTTGCTTTTGATTTCTCTTTACAACACCCCCCAAAGGCTCCCCTCAAGACGAGCCCCCGTGTTCCCAAGCGTCAGGGGGGAGTCATCATGGACGTGATGAACCCGGAGCAGGCCAAGATCGCGGAGGAGGCCGGCGCCTGCGCCGTCATGGCGCTGGAGCGCATCCCCGCGGACATCCGGCAGTCCAAGGGGGTGGCGAGGATGTCCGACCCCAAGATGATCAAGGACCAGCTGAGGGCTTTGAGGGGTTTCTAGCGCGGGCTGGGGAGTGTCGTAGAAGGAACGCCTAAAAAGGTGTGTCTTCTTTACGGTTCCCTATCAATCAGCTTTGTGACTGATACCCTCAAAGGATCGGCTGAGAGCTTTCAGTTGTTTTGAGTTCGGTAAAGCGAGTTTGGTCCCAGCCAAGCAGCGCGGCACGTGCGGTCAAGCAACGCCGGGTGGGGTTGAGGTGAGTTTAGGGTGACTTGGGGTTTGTAGGGGGGGGGGTTGGGGGCAGTGTAGGGGTGGTTTAGGGTGGGCCCAGGTGTGAGTTTCGAGTTTAGTGTGGGCTTATGGATGTTTCTGGTGGGTTTAGCGTGGATATAGGTGACGTATAGGGTGGTTTCGGGAGGGGGGCTAGGGTAGGTTTAGGGTAAGTTTAAGGTGTTTTTGAGGATTGGTTTAGGGTCAAGGGTAGGTTTAGGGGGGGTTGAAGGCAGGTTCAAATTAAGGTTGACCCAGGGTGGTTTAGGGTGGGGGTGGGTTCAGGGTATGTCTTGAGTGGTTTCGGGTTTTAGGGTATAGTGGTCTAACGTGCTCAAGTCTAGGGTGGGTATACGATGGACGACCGAGAACCGTGGAACAGAACCGTTCACGAACCGAACCGAGGGCCAGGACTCGAACCGTCGAAACCCACCAAAACCGAGTCTGGAAGGAATTCCGTGTTTTTGCTGCCGGCAGCAGCCTGTTGCTGCGTGCAGCGTGGGTAAGAAGGAGGCACGATAGAGCTAGAAGGCCACGAGAAAAAGCAACTTGCCGCGCTGCAGCCCCGAACGCGCATCTTGGGCACAATTCGGGTGAGAGGACATTGTGAACTCAGTGTCCATCCCGGTCATGGCCAAGTGCCGTATCGGCCATTTTGTGGAGGCCCAGGTCTTGCAGCAGGTAGGCGTGGACTGCATCGATGAGAGCGAGGTGCTGACCGTTGCGGACGAGGGCAACCATGTGAACAAGGGCAAGTTCAAGGCCCGCAGTCATCCCGGCCACTGGAGGGTTGACTTTGCATTCTTGGAAAATCGATAAGCATGGTTTGCAAAAGTTCGGGTGTTTGGTAGCCATGGCGGATGCTTCTAGAGCCCGCATGTGTCCTTTTGTACCTTTCCTAACTTTCCGAGAGGCTGATTGTCAACGACAACTACGCAAGCAGCCATTTCAATCCTAGAGTTTGTTCGCCCGGAAGCAAAGCAACACATCACTCATTTTGCGGCATCCGAATTGGGACTTAGTGGGGTACGCAGCAGCCAACAAAGCCAACACAATGTGCATTACACAGTAGAGATCGCAGCAAAAATAAATAACCGGATAACTCCAGATGCCTGGCTTTTTGCAGAGTGAGTGTAAGTTTAGCAAGCGAGAGTAAATATGCTTGAAAGAGTCAGAGTGATTGAAAGCGAGTGAGAGGGTAAGGTGAGTGAGAGTAAATGTGTGCAAGTCAGTGAGTGCAATTTCAGCACGAGAGAGAGAGAGAGAATGCGTAATTTTCCTTCAAACCATTCAACGAGGATCACTGACAATGTATTTTGAACCACCTTCTTTAGCATCTCGTTTTTCAGAGCTCGGCGCTGTCTGTGACCCCCCCCACCCTCCACTGCTGGTAGCGTACCGTGTTTGTTTGTGAGTTTTGCGCATAGCCTCTATCCCTGGCTTTTTCGTTTGATGGGGATGCGCAGGTGCCCTTCGTTTGCGGCTGCCGAAACCTCGGGGAGGCGCTCCGGCGCATCGTGGAGGGGGCTTCGATGATCCGCACCAAGGGCGAGGCGCGCACGTCCGGAGGACCAATATGGGTTGTGTCAAAGTGGGACTTTTAGCAATGTGAGACTGACAAAAGGGGAAATACTGTGAAGACACAAGTGGTACACCCTGGTTGAAGAGGAGGGTGTCCCCTTCAAAGAGGGGACCCTTAATTTACTTGTTGGTAGCCACTTCCCCTCGTAGTTCCCCAGGCTGAGAAATGCAGGACACAACTGAAGCAATCCGGGATTTCCCAAATTTATACTTTCTCTTTTTGAACAAGTTTCGGGCGATCACACTTGTTTTCGTCCTTGTTTTTCTGGGGTCTCTGACGGCATTCTTTAGGGAAATCAAAGATCTCAGATGCCACAAACAAAGCCTGCGTACATGATGTTAGGTCACGTTGCCCACCATGAGTGTGACTGGCCCGTTTGATTGTGCACATAGCTTGGGCCTTCCTTTGTTCGATTATTCCAAAGGAGCCCAATTCCCAAAAGAGGTTCCCAATAAATTCAGGTCCACAAAGAAGTCGGCCTTTAAAAAAACAAGGAGGTCACGACATCGAGAAAATCGAGAGCATCAGGAGATGGCCAGAACCCGCTCTCCTTGCTTCCCTGAATTGATGTTCAAGCCCAGCCGAACAGCAGGTTGTTTGCTGAATGATTCGTCCAGAATGTCTGATGTCCCCAAAAGGAAGCCAAAGCGGTGTCCAGAGCCCTTCCCTTTGAACTCCCACGCGGGACCTCGTTTGAGAGCCAGGCCGGCACCGGAGACGTGGTGGAGGCTGTGCGGCACATCCGCACCCTGCACAAGGCGAGACGATGTAGGGAAATGGGGATGTCAAAATTTCCGCGTATAGCATCCTTCTTATTTTGGCTGTTTCTCACTCAGAAAATGGAATAATGGAGCTTGCTGCATGTCCCGTAAAATGGGCGAGGTTCACCTACGAAAGGGGACGGTAAAGTAGTATGGCAGAGCAAAACACATGGGATGGGTGGCAAGAGAAGGATCCTGGCAAAAATGTGCGGCGGGAATCTTACTCGGTTTGACAGACACGTGTAGTGCACAATCAGTGCGTGTCAGGTTTCACGCAACCGGAGAATCAAGAATCATGGAAGTGGACAAAGGACATTTTAAGGTGACCCACCCGACCTGTTTTGGTCATTTACGTTGGGAGGAAAGCAGGAGGAGTGCTGGATTCAATCATGTGTTTCTTTTACTGTAAGGTCCAACAACACTGGGATTCCTATTCTAGTAAATACTCATGCGGCCCATGCATGCTCTTTTTTGTATTTGCCTTTTTCTGTCCAAGGTGGCTTTCGATGCTTTCCGCGCACACAATCCTGGCTGTTTGCTTGTAGCCAGGCTCAGGGAAACCTATAGTTTCTATTTGGCTGGGCTGTTCAACAGCAACTCAGGCGAAAAGCCCATGAGCAGGTTTCATAGCATAGTTCGGACAATCTGGTTTCACGCCCTCGGTCAAACTAATATGGCGTAAAGCACCTGGGGCTCCTTGGAGGCCCTTGTGGGGGCTCGACTCGCAATGTTTAGGGGCCCCAGCATCACGATTCTGCCAAACCCCAAAGCTCAGTCGACCTGGTTGCACCAATCGAGATGCTTGGTCAGGTTCGCAAATGGTTCCCAATTCCGCCAGGCCCCTGTTACCCTGTCGGCCGGTTGCACTAGTAGCCTAGGAGGGAGACTCAATTCAAGAAGGTCTCCCTGTTCTCGATTGTTTCCCGGCCTGGTTAGGAGATGCGAATGGTACAGATGATGGACGAGGACGAGCTATTCGCCTATGCCAAGGAGCCAAGGGTTAGGGCTTTTCTCACTGGTCAAAGACTGACAGAGCGTCAGCCTCCAGTCCACGAACATGGAACCAAACGGCGAGTCCCTTTTAAAGCAGAATCATCTCCCTTGTGAGGTTCCATGTTTGTGGATGGGAGGGTAACCTTTCAATTTTTCAGAGGACGACTGTTTCCCTAGCCAAAAGTGCAATGGAAGGAAAAGACCAGGCTTACTTGGCTTGGTGGGCATGCGTGTTGCTGTGCATTAGCAGCGATTTAGGCACCTGGGCTGCAATGCGAGCAGCCTTTGAACTAATTCCACCCATGAATGGGGAGGCACGGCCAGCCACAAGACGCTGAAAGTTGCAGTGATACTTAGCTTTCAACCTGATCTTTTGCCTATATTCAGGGCATGCGTAGTTGAGTGCATGTTTTCGGCCAGCCCAAATCCAACTCGGCATCCAATCCGGAGGCAGGTCTTATAAGCAGGACTAGTGCCTCACATTGGTGCGACGCCATGATGGGAGCTTTTGTGCTCATCGCAAGCAGGGAAGTATTAAACACACTCTGGCAACCTACTCATGGCTTGGATTCAGCCGCTTGCAAGCTCCCAATCCAGGAGATCGGCGCCCCGGTGGACCTCCTGCAGGAGGTGAAGAAGACAGGGAAGCTGCCCGTGGTCAACTTCGCTGCAGGAGCGAAGCCTGTTCGACTCAAAGCCCCTGCCACTACCCCCCTGCCCATAAAAGCCTTCAAGCCCCAAAAGACGAGTTTGGTAGGAGGTTGGCCCCGGGCATTACATCAGCTAAAGCTGACAAATACGACACACTTGAAGGATTTGGGGTTCTATCCCCACCCCCAACCGTATGAAGTCCGGCTGGCTCTCGCACTCGTGTTCTTGAGGCGGTGTGGCCACCCCGGCGGACGCGGCCCTGTGCATGCAGCTGCTGGTCATGGTTTGGTTTGTGTCTCACATGGCCCTTTTCTACAAATCTAAGAAACACATAGTTGAGTCCTAGGAATTGCTATTTAGTTGTAGCCAAGGCCACAAAGTGGTTTCACATTCATCTACCCCAGACCTCAATCGGTGCTCCTTTGTTCATCCAGCTGTGGCGGGTCTTTTCGAAATCAAGCAGCCAAAGAAAGAGTGCCGTTTTTTCTTTTTTGGACACTAGAAGGGCCACTATAAGTGCCTAAATCATGGGTTGTCGGATACGATTGAGCCAGATCACGCAATGATCATAGGACAGCAATGTGTAGCGCTTCTTTCGCCTATATCATTCAGCACCATAGCCAAGAAACACGGAGTTCGTTTGGGGAGCCATGGCCACCGGAGAGAGCAAGGCTGGGTGTGGACGGCGTTTTCGTGGGCAGCGGCATCTTCAAGTCTACGGACCCGGCCAAGCGGGCGCGCGCTATTGCGGCTCGGTTCTTTCTTGGGACCTCGCCTCGCTATCGCGCTATCGCGTCCCTGCTTCCGAGAAACAAATAGCTCGAGCCATGGCTTTTGGGCAACAACCCTCAACCAATTGTTATCGGATGCTGAGTTGCCGAGCTTGGGCCCAGAAATCAACAAAATACCTTGAACCTAAATAATTAGGACAAGCAACAGGACAAAAGGTCGGCTTGGGACAAGTGCGCACTGCATCAGCATACATATTGGTCAATATGTGGTAAACACATCCCTTGTCCCTTGACTATTAGTAAATATATTCTTGTTCATAGTCAATGGCGATATTGCAAAGTTGACTCTCCAAGGGTTCCTGAATAGTCTGCCTACATGTTACGAATCTTAAAGGCTCGAAGGATCCAGTTACCTTTATGGCTGGTATCCAGAAAAACAACATATAAGATATTGGGGTAGAAATCCTCACTACCTACCATAGTCATGGTGGTACTGGTAACTGGATGCACTGGCAGGCCCTAGCATTAAAAACTAGCCCTAGCAAACCTTCAAAAGGGAAGGGGTGTTTTGTGATTCCAGATCCACGCAAACTAGCACTCGGGTTCTTCATGAAGCTGGGAGCTGTGTCCCACAATCACTTTTCTCCTTACGGCATTCAAAGGCTGGGAGAGGCGCCGCGTGTCGAAACTGGGCGTAGACAAAGCATGTTTGTCAGCTTTCTCGTTTTGGTTCCAGCGTGATCAGCGGGGCTTATGGAGCAAGGGCATGAGGAATGGGCAATGGCGTTGAGCCGCGGGCGAGCACTCCCGAAGCGCACGCTCACCCATGACGGTTCACTATGTTCGGTTCACTAATGCGCGTCTCCTTTGGCCCAGGCAAAGCCACATTAGGGGGATGTTCCGTTGCGAGGACCCCGATGTATCGTGCCCGCACACTCGCCGGTCCAGATCCGTTTCCCAGTGGCAAGACGTTCAACTGAGTGTGTGCACACGGGTGTGTGTGTGTGTGTGTGTGTGTGTGTGTGTGTGTGTGTGTGTGTGTGTGTGTGTGTGTGTGTGTGTGTGTGTGTGTGTGTGTGTGTGTGTGTGTGTGTGTGTGTGTGTGTGTGTGTGTGTGTGTGTGTGTGTGTGTGTGTGTGTGTGTGTGTGTGTGTGTGTGTGTGTGTGTGTGTGTGTGTGTGTGTGTGTGTGTGTGTGTGTGTGTGTGTGTGTGTGTGTGTGTGTGTGTGTGTGTGTGTGTGTGCGTGCGTGCGTGCGTGCGTGCGTGCGTGCGTGCGTGCGTGCGTGCGTGCGTGCGTGCGTGCGTGCGTGCGTGCGTGCGTGCGTGCGTGCGTGCGTGCGTGCGTGCGTGCGTGCGTGCGTGCGTGCGTGCGTGCGTGCGTGCGTGCGTGCGTGCGTGCGTGCGTGCGTGCGTGCGTGCGTGCGTGCGTGCGTGCGTGCGTGCGTGCGTGCGTGCGTGCGTGCGTGTGTGTGTGTGTGTGTGCGGAGTGGCAGATTACCCTGCCACCATCCACCTTTTTCCACCGCAGCAGGGGGCTGGAGCCGGCCCGGGGGGTCTCCAGCCAACGAAGACGCCCCCCGGTGTCCGGGTCCAAACGTACCTGCGGGGCTGCGCCTGGGCCATTGTCATGGCAGCTGGCGGGCCCACCCCAAACAAAGGTCCCCTTTTTGCCCTTTTCTCCAAAGCCAGCTGAACCCCAGCTGTACTCGAGACTCACCAGTTGTACTCGAACGATGAGAGACTTATCAGTTGTACTCGAGACTCATCAGTTGTACTCGAGACTCATCAGTTGTACTCGAAAGATTAGCACCCTCCATCTGGAGTTTAAGTGTGTACACCCCATTCGTGGGGAATCCTCGGGTGTACCCATTGTGTGACCCCGGGCCGGCTCTGTCGGAAAATTTGACCTCAGCGTGCTTATCATAGACCAGCGGAATTTCACATTTAACCAGGATCGAGGTTTCACTAAAGGGAAGACAGCCACCTCTTCATAGCTACGTTTCACCCTTCGTTCTTTTTTCTCGCCTTCGTCTTCCGCGTGCCCGTCTTCTGGTTCTTCGCCCGCCTAGGGATGGCTTCTCCTTCCTCCCGTTCTCTTCCTGCTGCCTTTCGTGACCCGCGCGTTCGCCCTCCTCCTGTTCGCCCGCTTAGGGATGGCCTGGTTGTCCTCGCGTTGTTCACCTTTTTCCTCGTCGTCGTCTTCGTGTCCGTCTTCCTGTTCCTACTCCTCTTCTTCCTCACGTAGTTTGGCTTGACGTCTTCTTCCCCTTCCGTTGCTATTTCGTGTTCGTCCTCTTGGCCCCTGTGTGGGATTCGTCGTCTTCCTCCTCGAGCTTTGGACTTCATCCTCTCTTCCTGTCTGGGCGGGATGCGTCGCCCTAAAAACGCATACTACTTCCCTCTTCCTTTTCTTTTTCCCTCTTCCTTTTCTTTTTCTCCTTTCTCCTCTCCTCGGGCGGGCTGCGGCGCCCTAAATACGCATCTCGCTCCCTTTGTCTTCTTTTCTCTCCTTCTTCTTCTTCTCTCTCCCTTGCGTTCCTTTCTCCTTCCCCCGGGCGGGCTGCGGCGCCCTAAATACGCATCTCGGCCCTTCTCCTCCTTTCTCTCTTTCTCGCTCTCTCCTTCTTTTCTTCTCCCCTTTCCCTACTACTTCCGGTTGTTCCTCTTCGCCCGTTTAGGGATGGCGTGTTCGTGGTGTCGTTCTTCAACTTCGCGGTGCTCTTTCTCTACAAGGTTTAGGAGGGTTTCTGGACTGTTTGGGGTTCTTTGCCCTCGGCGGTGACCCTAAACTCGGTTTCCCGTTTTTCGTGTTTCTTGGTTGGGGTTTTGCCCGCGGAGACCCAACGTGGGGCCTTTCTGTTCCTTTTGGGTTCTTGCTCCGTTTGTTTTCTGTTGGGGTCTTCGTCCGTCTTTCGGGCGCTTCTTCTTCCCCCCGAAAAAGAGACTTTTCGCCCCTCACTGAGGGGCGTGTGTGTGCGGAGTGGCAGATTACCCTGCCACCATCCACCTTTTTCCACCGCAGCAGGGGGCTGGAGCCGGCCCGGGGGGTCTCCAGCCAACGAAGACGCCCCCCGGTGTCCGGGTCCAAACGTACCTGCGGGGCTGCGCCTGGGCCATTGTCATGGCAGCTGGCGGGCCCACCCCAAACAAAGGTCCCCTTTTTGCCCTTTTCTCCAAAACCAGCTGAACCCCAGCTGTACTCGAAAGATTGAGCACCCTCCATCTGGAGTTTAAGTGTGTGTGTGTGTGTGTGTGTGTGTGTGTGTGTGTGTGTGTGTGTGTGTGTGTGTGTGTGTGTGTGTGTGTGTGTGTGTGTGTGTGTGTGTGTGTGTGTGTGTGTGTGTGTGTGTGTGTGTGTGTGTGTGTGTGTGTGTGTGTGTGTGTGTGTGTGTGTGTGTGTGTGTGTGTGTGTGTGTGTGTGTGTGTGTGTGTGTGTGTGTGTGTGTGTGTGTGTGTGTGTGTGTGTGTGTGTGTGTGTGTGTGTGTGTGTGTGTGTGTGTGTGTGTGTGTGTGTGTGTGTGTGTGTGTGTGTGTGTGTGTGTGTGTGTGTGTGTGTGTGTGTGTGTGTGTGTGTGTGTGTGTGCGTGTGTGTTTTCTTTTGGGGGGGTTGTCTTAAAGGGAAGCCAAATGGACATGTCCCATTTTGTTGCTGGTCCCCTTATTTTGACGCGCACATTGTGACCTTCCGAGGTGAAGGCGGTGACCCACTTCAACGACCCCCAGGCCGTCCGAGGGGGGCCGCTGGACGGGGCCTTGATTTGAACCTGATTTGCTTGTAGCAATGCATGGCTGCTGGGATGTCCGAAATCGCCAGGGTACGATCAAGAAGAGTCGTGACTAAAGGGACTCGTTGAGGTTGCTTTGCAAACCTGCTTTCAACATGCACAAGTTCAACTTCCACCACCCCCAAACCTGACATGCGTGAACCAACATGGCAACCTGACTTCTAAATTTAACTCGTCATGTGTGGATAGCAAAAATGACACCTTTCCTCCTTTCAGTGGACTTCTTTCAAGGGTTCCAATCTTTTCATTTACCCCAAGTTGGATGTATTCTTGCAGGCTCCCAAGATTTGCTTCCCCCTTCAAGATTTGGGGTGGAACCTTTTCTTGAGCTGCCCTCTCCCACAGAACCACCTGGAGCCATGTCAATGTCCTGGGTCGTCCGCCCCTCACTCCGCCACTTTCAGGCAAATTGCGATGTTTAGAGTGGAGTGTTCAGCATCAAGCTGTTCGGGAACGTTCGAATCCGAGCCACGCTCTAAGTGTTTGATGCTTCCGCTCTGCAACCACCCAGCTCCTGTTCTCTGCAGGGGGCCCTGTGCTGGTCTTGGATTGGTTTGCATGGTGTTCCTCGTTGTTTTGCCGGCCCTATCCACTTCTTCCCAGCTGGCCAACGGCATAAGGGTTGGCATGCCGACAGGTGGAGTTGCTGTTCCCCTAGTCAAGCCATTTTCTGCCATTCAAACCAGGCTGAAGCAGCAACTAGGCAACCAAAGGGCAAGGAAGCAAATTTTGAGCCAGGACCTCAGCTGTGTTATTTCCAGAGGGTATGGTGGTTTCCTTGTTGTGCTGTCCCACTACGATACAAATGTGTAGGATTTGCAAAGCATTGCCAGACTTCTGCCTCTTCCTCGTTTTTGCCTGTTTGGTTTCTACAGTTTCACTTTCATTCTAGCTTTCAACCAGGAGTTTCGCTTTTCGGGGGTCGGATCGGTTTGTTTGGCCCGTTAGACAGCCACCCGGGCCAGGTCATTGCGGAGGTGTCGGAGGACATCGGCGAGGCCATGACGGGCATCAACTGCGACGCCCTGGCCACACGCTTCGCGGACCGGGAAGGGGGCAACATGCCGGCGGCCAAGAAGCCACGGATGGAGTCCTACGGGGACAAGAAGGCGGGCATTGAATGGAAAAAAATACATAAAACAGACACCCCCCAAACCACTACTTTCAATGGTCCAGGGCTTATAGTGCTTTGTTCAAGGGTCAGATAACCCCCAAACCACTACTTTCAACGACCCAGGGCAAATCACTTGTAGGACTTGTGGTTTGCTCCGGTTCTGCCAGGCCACGGCAGGCTGGTGAGCCGGATTTTGACTTTTGTCGAGGCTTCGACTTTCGTGAAATGGAAGCCTTGGGCTCTGCGAAAGAATTCGCCGCCTCTGGAGGAGACGGTTGAATACTCAAAGCTGCAGAGACCCCGTTGTTCAGGGTGCCCCGATGGTGTGAATGAGAACCATAAGACCTTCAGAAGGGCACCAGAAGAAGCCTAGAGTTTGGTCAACATTTGAGCCCATTGACTTTGCCCTCGGCGCGCGCTGCTAATCCCGGATTTGCGTCTTCGCACACTTTTCAGGCCTCAGGCCTTCCTGCCAACCACGTGGATTCGGCAGTGAGCCTTAAAAGGTGCGGCCAGCGTGTGGCTCAAAACCCAGGTCTCATGCATCCATGGTCCGATGAGCGTGCAAGGGTTCGACAAGTGCTGCTACAATCACCCAACTAAGACGGAGGCTGCGTGTGGCTTTGAGGGTGCAAAATAGTTTCAGTGAGAGGGAATGGTTTCTTTCGCCAGATTTCTCCGTGCTCCTGTTTGTGGTCAAGTGGGACTTGCCAAACCAACTATATGTCACTTGCCGAGCTTAATCCGAAAGCTAGAGCATAGCAATACTCACAGATGTTTGCAGCTGGAGGTGGAATCGACCTACATGGGTTGCTTTCCTTGTTGGTGAGAAAGCACTGCGCAGTATCATGCGAAGGTCAACTCCCTTCAGGGCCTCAAAAGGCCAAGAATCCGGGGAAATGTGCGGGTGATGCTCAGTAGCGCCCAGAATGAAAGGGGTCCATTGTTGTCCTTGACAGCTGGGCCCGGGCTACTACGTTCTCTTTCAAAAGGGAACAGGTGACCCTGTTTGATTTTGTTTAGCCCTTGCAAACAGTTCTACCCCTCGGCCTTATGCGTTCGTCAGACAGGACCAGAGGAGGCTAAAGATCTGGAGGAAGTCGGCAATTGCCCCGGCCTCAGCCGCTTCCATGGGCAAGGGATGTCCAGAAAGTGGCACACTTAGCCTTTAGCAGAAGCCACGAGGAGACGTTTTGAGTCCAACCAACACGCAATCTTTTAGTTTTACGTGGATCCAGCAAGTGACTCCACCTTGCCACGATGCACCATAAGAGCAGTGCACCATCCACATTGCACATTCGAACAAGTAGACCCATCAAGTTTGGCACTTTCGATCGAACGCCAGTAGGGTGGTCAACAGTTGTGGAGACTTGGCGTCAGAGGCCTTATTTTCCCGCCCGGCACCTTGGAGTCAGTGCTCCAGAGCCGGAAGCCCAACCAACGCGCTGAGGCGCGCGAAACCGCATGAACGGCGGGGGCGTTTTGGGGGTTGTTTGGTTTGGGTTTGCTTTTTGGACTAGCTTCAAGGGAAACTAACAGGAAGCCGACCCGAGGGGTCCATCACTTTCGAACAACCCCATTTACAAAGTGATGGTGTTGGGATTGGGGGAGCAAGACTGCCTGCATGCGGCTATCGAAGCTTGTTTCCTTTTTGTGTGCATGTAGACGGTGTTGTGCCGCTGTGCGTGCCATGGTTTGCGTAGGACGCTTGAGGTGTTGCTTGGATGCAAGCAAAGGCTCACAAAGTGCGAAGTGCCCACAGACACAGGACTGGATTTTGTAAGGCAGCTGTGCCAACGAGGTTCCGTATCGTCTTGGCCCCTGCATAGGTCCAGGCGTGGAGCGCTCAACCGGTCGGACGTGCATGCAGTTTGAGAATAGCGCGCCTGTATAAGAAAGAGCAGTGTCCTCGGAAGATTGCATCAGGTGTTAGATGCCGTCCTTGCCCGGGCATACCGCATACCGTATTTCTGTTCATACCATCAGTTTGTTACAAGCGAGCCGGTTGTTTGACACTTTGGGATCGCAGGCCCCGCAGAGCACAGGAGTAGTCATGGCGCCTGCGGATTCGTCAGTCCTTTGGGCTTTACCGGAAATTGTTGCCAAAGGGCCAACATGAGATCATGAGATCATACTGGCCGATCGGCTGTTCCCCTCTGCTCCCAAAAAGGTCCCTACAGGTCCTCCAGGTCGCTGAGCCGTCTTCATTCAAAGAAATTTCTGGGGACGGGGCATTTTCTTCTGCCAGTCGCGCAGCCAGGGCATGCTGCCGCTGCACTGCACCTTCACGCGACCCGGGCAAGGGATGGCGGTAGGGGTGCGAAAGCCAGTGATTCGAGGGGTGTTTATACAGTTTCTCAACTTTGGGCCTGCTGATATGCTTGCTTTGGCCAAGCTATGCTTTCTAAACAAGGGGGCCAATTCGAACGAGAATCGCCGTCCCCTTTGCTTGTCATTTCAATGCAGCGGACGAGCCCGGTTGGGATCATTTTGCTCCTTGTTAACTTGCGGATTCCAAGACCTGTACCCGCCAGCTGTGCTTGGATTCCCCTTGCAACCGCGTGTTTTGTGTTTTGGGCAGTCACCAGAATTTGGGCTGTGCCCCCAACCAACAAGAGGAACCCTTGAGATCGGTGTAAGGGCTTTGCACTCAAATCGCCCCAAACCACAAACTCCCAGAGGGTTTTGCCAACTGTTCCCAACACGTTTGCCTTTCTACAACATGATGTGGGAGACCAATCTTTGTGTAACACCCACCAAACCCAACCACCAACTAGGGGAAAGTAGGATTGAGTGTTGCAGGTACGACCGCGCCATCGTTCTCACCAGAGACCCCTTGGACGTTTTCCGGCGACTTGGCTGGTGGCGTGCGCCAGTCCCAAGTAGCCGAGGCTCTAAGAGCCTCAGATTTATGGGTTTGTCTCCTATTTAGATAGTGGTTTCATGGAATAGTTGTGCTTTTGGTTTCCCCATAACGCTATGCGAACAGACTCAAGTGGGTAGGCATCACAACGCGGCCAAGACTCTTGCTTGGCGCCATTGGAGCAAGGCGCTATTACAAGCGCAGCCTTCACGAGCATGCGGCTGAGAGGTGATACGCTCACATGCCCAGGTCAAATTATCACTACCGCACCAAGGTGCGCGGAGGGAGGACGGAGACAGAGCGACGGATGCTGAGGGATAGGGATCATTGCGCCCCAATTGCGGACCGCCTGGGAGCCAACTTTGTTTCGTCCTGGTTGGCTTAAGAAGGTCGTGGTTGGCTTTGGCAGGGTAGACCACGTTAGAAAGGAACCAGCTCACTTTTTCTCCATTGATTCACACGCAGTTTGAAGTGCTGAGAGACGTCGCGCAATGCCTGCCCTGGAAGCCCGGAAGCTGACAGAGTATGGACTGGGGGACGTTTCTGGAAGGAGACTTGGGTCCCAGGTGTTTGAAGGGCCCTCGCTTGCTCTGATGTCAATGTATTCAGCGTGGCCCGGTTGTTCCACCTTGTTCCCACGTAGTTGTCTCTGTTTGCCCCCTTGACGGACTATTCCCGCCATGATATGTTTTGCCCCCCCCCCCCCTTTGGACATGAACAAACCCTAGTGGTCATGTGTTGCCCCTCGCCCTCATCCATCCGTCTTGGATGGGGCACAATGCTGTGTGGGGGGAGCCCACGCCACTATTTTTGCATCCCGACTTGCAGCTCATGCCGTGAGTCACTCGGAGGTGCTGAAGCTGAAGAAAACCGGCACCTGGGCCGCGGGGCAACATGGCTTCGCCCGTGAGCGCGCGAAGGCCTACATGCACCCCGGCCGGGCGAAGGCGGAAAGGGGCAGAAGGGGCTGAAACGTGTTTCATACTTTTGCACACGTGTAAGACTGTGTTTGTTTCATTCATGGGGTGACGCTCGTTCCCCCAATTGTCCGCATTTTTGTTGTTTTTTTTTATTCCGAGAGAATGAAGGGGGTTGTGGATGCAGCACGGTCAAAGTGGTCCACCCCTTCAACTGACTGAGTGCGGGTAGGTGCGCTGTCCGTTCACCTGCTAAAGCTAGGATCCAGAAGTCTTCCTGACTCAATTCAATTCAGAGCTCGGGGGAGATGAGGTGAGATTCTGCGTTGCAAATGTCGTCCATCATTGTCGAATGCGGCCTATCATGGACGTTTGTGTGGTAAATGCCTTAATTTTAACGCCTGGTCACGTGAGGACGGTCAGCTTGTTGCGCTGACCTGCCTGAAGGTTCTTTTGGACATAGCGTTGCTTGTCCGCTTTTTGTCGGACCTTAGCCTTTGAACTCTGCGATTGCGTGTTATAGGCAAACCAGCCAGAAGTTTGTTTTTTGCAGAGGCTGACAGGCCAACCCGGATAAGAGTCATCAAGAAAGTAAGTAGCTTGAACGTCTTGACCCTCCACTCACTGGCTGGCGGTTGCTCAAAACGTCCATCCCCTCACCAGCCCAGGGACTTTTACGGCGGGTGGCGATCATTTGCAGCTTGGCGGGTTTCTTTGGAGCGACCTTGCCGTGTTCCGACTTGTCTACACGTGCGAACTGCTTGGTGTTGTGCTCAAGCTCTGGAATTGGAGTGGCCTGACTTACCTGTCCTCACCTTGTTTGATTGTTGAGGCCATGCAGGTCGATTTTCACCAGTTCAGTTTGTGGGCTTGGGCCCTTCGAAGCCTTCCGAAAGTTTGTCCAAGACTTCTGGCGAGAAGAGGCAGCCTAGATGTGGTTCGATTGCGGTTCTGAAGCTAAGTCTGGCAGCATTCAGTGCCTCCAAAGGCATACTCGAGAAGACCCTTGGTCATCGAAGCGAAAGAGCGTGACCCATTGGTGTCTATCTCGGTATTGGGCATCACTTGCCTTTCAAGGGCAGGCTACAGATTGGAAACAGGTCCCACTGCTCGCCCCTTGTAGGACTCACTAAGCTTGTTTGTTGCAGTCCCCCCTCCCCGCAAGTCGCGGCCAGCCTGCTCGTCTGATTGTTCCAGCATTCGGTTTGATTCTAGATAGCTACGTAGACCATGGGTGTCTACATTGGGGATGTTAAGCGTACAGCGTACAGTACATCTTCTTTCAAGCGGTTGGCCCAACTTTGCCAAACCAGGGCCAAGATTTTGGCCTAAGATGGGACTTCTTTAATATGCTTGTTGCGCAATGGACATACCCAGCCCTTTTGCAAGCCGCTTGCAAGCTTCACTTGCTTTGTTTGCGCTGTGCCAGGTTGACAACGACTATTTTGTGTATCGGGCACGGGCAGAATCGCATTCGAGCTTGCAGCGCGTCATCGCCTATTCTTTGACAGGTGTGTGGAATTCATCGCTTCAACCTCTTATTTTGCAACTCCCAGGC